CTACTCGAAATTTGTGCGGCGGGAGTTCCGTCATCCGATTGGTACACCAGAAAGTACCAAGAAGTAGAAGAGCATCCCGAGGTAAATCCAGATTACCGCATCGAGAATGGCCAGCTCCACCGGCATATTCTACATACGCTCGACTACAACGAGACTCCCGAAGCGCAACAGTGGAAGACCTGCATTCCCGGTGACCAGAAGACCAGGATTTTACGTGAAAACCACGACGATCCACCGGCAGGGCACTTGGGCATCGCGAAGACCATCGTTCGCTTGGCGAAAACTTATTATTGGCCTGGGATGTTCCGAGAGGCAGCTCGGTACGTGCGAAATTGCGAAAACTGTCAGAAGTTTAAAAACGAACAGCGTAAACCGCCCGGAACATTACACGCGCTCGAAGTCAAGGAACCTTGGGAGATAGTAGCCGCCGATCTAGTCGGACCGCTTCCAAGATCAGAAAACCTCAATACATGGCTTCTGGTCTTGCAAGACAAACTGACGAAGTGGGTTGAATTGCAACCAATGAGAAAAGCCACGGGAACCGCGGTAGCGAAGGCCCTCCGAAAAAATCCTGTTACGACATGGCTGTCCGCAAACGATAATCACCGATAACGGCCGACAATTTATCTCGACCGATGTCGAAAGCCTGCTCAACAAATACCAGATCACTCACCGCCTGACACCGCCATACACACCACAATGCAATCCGGTTGAAAGAGCAAACAAGGTCATAAAAACCATGATTGCCCAAACTATCGAAAAGTCGCAGAAAAGGTGGGATAGATTCATCCCGGAAATTGCCTATGCGTATAACACCGCGCACTGCGAATCAACGGGGTATACGCCAGCTTACTTAAATTTCGGCCGAGAATTGCGACCGTCCGGGAGTGTAGGCCAAATAACTGTAAATACCGAGAAGGAAGATCCCGAAACGCGAATAAAACAGCTCCGTGAAGCGCTGGAACTCGCGAAAGTAAAATTGGCGCAGATTTTTCAGCGGCAGCAGCACCACTATAATCTCCGGCGCCGCGATTGGAGGCCCCGAATCGGGGAGGAAGTGTGGAAGCGCACGCACGAGTTGTCCAGCAAAGCAGAGGCTTTTAACGCGAAACTCGCAGCTAAATTCGAGGGTCCTTTTATCGTTCACCGGGTGCGATCGCCTGTGGTCTTCGATTTGAAAACCATCGACGGAAAAAATACCGTGTCGCGTGTACACGTACGCGACCTCAAATCAAACCAGACACGTTAATGGGCCTGTACTCCGCGCAAGCTATTTTTCGAAGCCTGTATCCCGTCAAATTACTTCGGAAGATAGTGTTTCCCGGATTACCG